ATTGCGGCGTGACCATCCCCTCTGGGGGGTGATTTCTCGCTTTCTGTCTCTATGTCTCTGTCTGTCTGGCGAGCACATGCACCCTATAGTGAAAAAACCTCTCAAGAAAAAAAAAATCAGGGAATGGCTCTGATCCCTCAGGGGCAGTGACAGCAGTAATGACAGCAAGCGTGTGCCCCTCCTGCCCTGGCTTGCCCTCTGTGTGCCAGGAACTTCAGCGCTGGCAATGCTGGGCTCAGGGTAGTTGCTGTTATTAACTCATTTCACAGACACGCCAGCTGAGACCAGGGAGACCCAGCTGCTTGCGAGGAGCCACACTGCTGGTGTGTGCAGAAGTGACCCAAGCCCACTGCGTGCTCTCACCACGTCCTGCTGCCAAGGAAGCCGACGACTGAGGGGAACGAGTGGTACCAGGCCCGCCTGGGCCTGTCTCCTGCCCTGGGGGCAGTGCGTCACTGAAGAGGTCTGGCTGCAAGCTAGTCCTCTGGTCCCATTCCCCCCAGCCCCTTCCTGGTCCCTTAAGCAAGGGGCAACTAGGTTTCCCTGCAGACGGGTACAGGGCCAGTCAGGCAAGGGGCTCTCTGCCTCGCCTACTGAAGAAAGACTGGTGGCCCCACCGTGGCCCCTCCAGCTGGGGAGGGGGACAGCTGGACAGAAGGGGGTAGACACAGGTAGAGGTTGCGGTAAAAGGCTACAGGGAACCAGGGGGAGAAGTTAGGGTTAGGGTCAGGGCAGAGGTGCACGGTGCTGTGGCTCCAGATCCAGGTTCTGGACCAGACCCCTGCCCTGATGCCAGCCAGCTGCATGACAGTGGAGGAGTTAGCTCTCACCTCCTGTGTCTGTCAGCTCCTCTGTGAGACACCAGGATGGTCCTAACCCCACAGTGTGAGTGTGGGTGCGACACCAGGATGGTCCTAACCCCACAGTGTGGGTGTGGGTGCTAAGTGAGTAACACCCACAAGGCTCTTCTCTTTTCTTTTCTCTTTTTTCTTCCTTCCTTCCTTCTCTTTCTTTCTTTCTTTCTTTCTTTCTTTCTTTCTTTCTTTCTTTCTTTCTTTCTTTCTTTCTTTCTTTCTTTCTTTCTTTCTTTCTTTCTTTCTTTCTTTCTTTCTTTCTTTCCTTTCTCTCTTTCTTTCTTTTTTTTTTTTTTAAGATTTTTGTCAAAGGTATGTGTGCTCACCAGAGAGAGAGAAAGAGGAGAGAGAGACAGAGAAAGGGAAAGTGAGAAATCACCCCCGTGGAGGGGGGGTTGGCCACATGATCCTTCTCCCTCTTGGGATTCTGGGCACACACACATGTACCTGGTGTGATTTACAGGTCACCAGGCCCAGGACTCAAACTGAGATTAGCTATGGGAGCCCAGCATCTTAACTATCATGCCACCTACTGGCCCCTGTAGCTCTCTCTCCATGTAACGTGGTGTTATTTTTTTTTTTTATTTTGGAGAGATTTTCACTGTAGGGCGCGTGCACTCGCCAGACAGACAGAGAGAGACATAGAGACAGAAAGCGAGAAATCACCCCCCAGGGGGGATGGTCACGCCGCAATCCCTTCTCCTCCATTCTCCTCTCGGGATCTTGGGCATGCACGCACACGTGCCCGGCGTGAGTTTTAAGCCACCGGGTCCGGGACACGAACCGCGGTCGACTACGTGGGAGTCCAGCGACATAGCCATTACGCTAACTGCTGGTTCCCTAACGTGGTGTTATTGACAAAGCAAACCTATACTGATGCTTTCATGCTGAGAGCTGGTCTTCACTGTCTCGTAGACTCCTCACTTCAGCTCTGTAAGGTCCACACCCAGGAGCATCATTTTGCAGAGGAGGAAGCAGATTCTGAGAGGTTAAATACAATGTCCAAGAGCACACACACAGGGATCCGGGATCTGAACCTGTTGGACTCCTGTCTACACAGTTGTTTGTCCACACTATGCTATCCTGCCCAGGCCTGTTTGCCCAGGAACCATGGAGCCTCCATCCAGGGGCTGTGCTAGTTTCACTACGGTACCCAAGTCTGGCCAGACATGTCAGAGGCTTCCAGGGGTGTGTTCTGAGATCGGAGGGGCAGACTCTGTGCTGGGTCCAAAGGCAGCCAGCATGCTGGGGAGATGGGAGAGCAGTGACTCAGAGGAGAGGAGGGGAGGGGAGGACGAGGGAAGGGTGCGTGGGCACTGACCTTGCGGTGCTGCTCGTAGTTGCGGATGAAGTCGCGGAGCTGCTCCTCACGGCTCTCCAGTGTGGCGTACAGCTGCTGCATCTGGCTCACCAGGTCCGTCTTCTCACCCTTTAAGCGCTTCCGGTCGGCTTTCATGGCTGGGGACAGAAGAGCAAGTTAGTTCCTGAGCTGTCTCTTTCAGGTGGCTTGAAGGCTGAGAAGGGGCTTGATCTCATTACCTTTGGAATAGATGAGAAAAACAAGGTTCAGAAAGATAAAGGGTCTCCCAAGCTCCCGTGTCACTTAGTGGCATTCCCGAGATTTGAACCCAGGTCTGTGTCCAGAGTCTATTCTCACCTCTCAGATCTACTAATCCAACCAGGGAGCAAGTCCTTACTTAAATGTGTCCTTCAGCCTTGAACTGGCTGGGTCTCTCATACTAAAGAGTTGAGGCCCGGTGAGCTCCTGACCCCCACAGCCCAGGAAGCTGAAGGGCCTGGATCCTCTGAAGAAATGAACCCCTAGGGCCACAGGGACAACGCAAGCCAGTCTGACAGTCCCAACTGCCTCATGTCCTTCATGTGAGAGGTGTTCAATTAAACACATGCAGAAAGATGACACTTCCTGAATGAGCAACAACTGAAAAACTAGGCAAAGTGGACTTCACCAAAGTAAAAGCTCTTATGTTTTAAAGGACAACATCAAGAAAGTAAAGACACCCCACAGATTGTGAGAACACATTTGTGAATCATATATAAGAGGGTCTTCAATAGTTAAAAGGAAATGTTTATTATGAAAAAACTGGGTTTCAAAATTCTTTGCACTAAAATAAACTCATACTTTAATTCCATTTTCCCATAAACTTTTCAAAGTCTTTTCATATTCAATAGGGGATTAGAGTATATAAATAACTTACAACTCAATAATAGTCAAATAATCTGTTTTAAAAACTGGGCAGGGGGAAGCAGGTGGCGTGGAGGTTAAGGTGGCTGGATCCCACCTGGACCAGGTGGTTTGAAAAACATGCCAGTCACATGTGCACGTGTGTCCAAAATCCCAAGGGGAGAATAGAAGAGAAGGAATTACTCACCATCCTCCTTTGGGGTGATTTCTCACTTTCTCTCTCTCTCTCTGTCTCTCTCCAGTGAGTGTACACACCCTATAGCAAAAAACTAAAAGGCAAAGGAGCCGAAGAGACATTTCTCCAAGGAACAACCATAATTAAACTAAAAGGGTGCTTGATATCATTAGTCATCTCAAATCCACAATGAGATACCACTTCACGCTCAGTAGAAATTGAATATAAAAGACAGCTACGGATGCTGGTGAGGATACAGAGACGTTGGAGCCCTCACACACTGCCAGAGGGAATGTAAAATGGTACAGTTGCTTTGGAAAAACAGTATGGCAGTTCCGCCCCAAAATTAAACATAAAGTTATCCTGTGATTCAGTAATTCCACTCCTAGGCTAAGAAATGGATATGTATGTCCACATAAAAATGTGTTAACACATGCTTGGATCATCAGAAAAGTCATGATGTGTTTTCTTCTGTTTTTCTATGTGAAAATGTGTCATGCCTTTTCCAATAGCCCAGTAAACAGCAGTATTATTCATAATGGCCAAAAACGTAGAAACCACCCAAATGTCCACCCACGGATGAATGAACAAAATGAGCTATGCTCATATACTTACTGTTCTCAAACAGTAAGAAGTCCTGATATCTGCCACAACATGAACGAACCATGAAAGCATTGTCTAAGTCAAAAGACCACATGCTACGATTCCATGCACATGCAACACCCAGAACAGGGAGATCTATAGACACTGTTAGAGGTTGCCTTGGACTGTGGTGGTGGCAGTGGTGGATGGGGGTATAAAGAGGCAGTAGGGAGGGACCAGAAGATGGCATAGTGGTTATATCACTGGACTCCTACATAGCTGACTGCAGTTTGAGTCCTGGACGCCATCTTATGTTGGTGTGTGTGTGTATGCCCAAAATCCCGCGAGGAGAATGGAGGAGAAGAAATTGTGGCACAGCCATCCGTCCCACCCCACCTGGGAGGGGGGGGTGGATTTCTTGCTTTCTGTCTCTTTCACTCTGTCTCTCCAGTGAGTGCACATGCTCTATAGGAAAACAAAAACAAACAAACAAACAAAAACTCTCTTAAAAAATAAAGAGGAGGTCGTGGAAAGGCATGGGTCTCCTCTTGAGCTGATAAAGAAGTTCTAACTTTGGTTGCTGTGATGGACGCACAGCTCTATGAATATACTAAACACAAGTGGATTTTGTATACTTCGAGTAGATGAATTACATGGGGTATAAATCACATCATCTCCTAAAGCTATTACTGAAAAATCCACTCCAGGGGCCGTGGTGCAGAGGTACAATGCAATGATCTCAAGGCTGACCCCAAGCGAAGGATCCAGGTTCACATCCGGAGCCCTCCCTGCGTACACCAGGCACATGTGTGGCCATGATCTGGGCTGAGGGAGGTGCGAGGCGGTTTGTGGCAGCAGGACCCTGGGGTGCTGCCTCATTTTTTTTTTCTGTTTCCCTTGCTCATGGGAGAAATACACTTGCATGAAAAATAAAGAAAGAAATAGAATTGCTCTTTAAAAATGGAAATGAAAAGCAATTCTCGGGGTCATACCCCTGTGCAGTCTCCTGCAAGGCAGCGTGGCTTCTGCTCCCCACAGTGGCCTCCTTGTCTGATGGAGCAGGCTCTGACTGCATGGTGGGGGCTCTTCACCCCTTTCCCAGACCCCCCAGAACTCTGTCCCTGCCCTAGACCTAGTATCAAAGACAGGTTTTTGAGACGCACTGTGCCTGCTATTGTAGAGATGGTAGAAACGGGGCAAGGCAACTCCTGGGCTCTGGAGGCTTCCAGTCTGAGAGGGCCAAGTGGTTAAGTCGTCTGCCTAAAGTCACACGGCCATGTCTCCCCGGAGCCCACACTTGACTCTAATGGTACGGTGCTTCCACAGTGAAGCCCCCAAAGCCAAAGGGTCCCTAGCCCCAAGGCTAGCTGAGAGAACTGACATGAAGCAGGCAGTCCTGCAACTCAGCCTGTGTGGAACCCCCGTCCCTGGATGGTGCCCCATTGTTTATCCCCTGCCTTCTGTTCCCTCCCCAGGTGGAACAGTGTAGGAGGCGGGCCAGCAGGGGCCATACCACCATAGCACAGTCAGCGTGCAGTGGGGACCCCAGCTCTTGGGTGGCCTGTTACACTCCAGCTTTGAGCCCCTTGGCTCCCGGAGGGCCAGGCCTCAATCCAGCCTGGCTGAGCAGCGGTCTTGGTCACCAGGCTGGAATTCCGGGCATGCTGGGCTGGAGACTATAAGGGCAGGGATAGTGGGAGGGCGGCACCGCTGGGCTGGTTTGGTGCTGTGGCACCTAGCAAGGTGCAGCCTCATTACTGGTGAGTGTCATTTTAAGGGACCCTAACATTTGAACATATAGCCTGGTCCGGATTGCCCAAAAGAGCTCAGGCAGCCATCACTGAGGTATCTGCTCACCTCACGAGATCCTGGCTACGCTCCTAGGAGAGAGGTGGCTGAGGATTTCTACTGTCCCACTTGACAGAGGAGGAGACTAAGGCTTCACAGCTATTCCGTGGCTGGGCCGGCACTGAGCGGGTGTCTGATGCTTGGTCTCAGGCTGGTTTTGGCCTGGTGGCTCCAGGAACAGCAAAGAAGCACTGATGAGTGAGTGGCTGTTGGAGGCCACTGACCCCAGCAAGGTCACCACAGTGGCTTCCTGGAGCTTCAGAAGGACACTCCTCCCAGTGCAGAGGAAAAACATGGGTCCCATGGTCCCAGGGTTAAAGCAGGGTTAAGTCTCTGCCCTTTGGCTGTCTTCAGCCCCCTTGGGGCTCTGATTTGCCTTCATTTATTAGCTCCATCTGCATGGGGACCAAACTCCACGCTTTACTCTTGGCAACTGAAGCCTCTTGGAGAAGTCTTCTGCCACCACTCCATGCCTGATCAGCAGTCCCTGATCCTCCTGACTTCTGAGTAGCTGAGACTAAAGGTGTGCATCACCACACTGGCTTTTTAGGGTGGGTCAGGAGTCAAACCTGCCTCCCATGTGACCTCAGCCTGCCGAGCAGCAGTGCCCATGGCTCGCTAATGCATCCAAGTCCCATGGCCTCGAAGGTGGGTGATGGTGCAGCCTCTTGCTGGTCTCCATGGACTCTCTTGTTGCTCCATCCTTGCACCATCTGTCCAGCAGTCTGAGGGGTGTGTGAATCTGTGCACACGTGTGTGCATGCACATGCATGCAGTGTGTGGGCCACCTCCAGGCTGTGCTATGCCTCTCCATCTGACTGAGGTTCCCTGTGAGCACAGGCTGGCCGGCGCCTTCGATCAGTGGCTTCTCCCTAAGAGGATAGAGCTGCCACCAGGCTGTTGGGTGAAGCAGCTCCCGTATGCCAGGCTCTGTGCTTGTTGCTGTGAGGATGGGGTGAGCCAGACGGAATGCCCACTTACTGCGTAGTGGGCATCTAAAGAGGAGACAAACCTGCCCCTGCCGAGGGTGAAGCGGTAAGGGCACCCTGAGGGGAAGGGCTGCAGATTGAGTAAGGACAGAGAAAACTGGGCTTCGGGTGGATGGGGCATCTCTGGTGCTCATTCGTTTATAGGGGAGGCGCAGCTGCATGCTTCAGCTGTGGAGCACCTCGGGGTTCTAAACAAGCCTCTCCTGGCCTTCTCTGGCTAATGCTCAGGTGTCTTCTGTCCGTACTGCCCAGCAGTTACGTCTCTGTCAAGAGCTTTCGCATGCTCTACAGAGATAGCGCGAAGACAATCCACGTTAAGGCGCTCCCAGCACAAACCCATATGCACATGGCTGACGCTGGTACCCGTCCACCCTCTTCCGCATCAGGATGACTCTGCTTTCACGTGGGGTACTGGCCAATGTGTCAGTGGCCCCCTGAAACCACTGACACCCGTCAGTGCTTCTCAAATCCCAGGCTCCCTTGCAGCTGGAGGGCCTGTGTCACAGTCCTGGCCACTAAGATACACACAGATGTCTTGGGAAGCCCACGGCTGACTTTATAAGCACTCTGGTGAGCACATGGAAGGAAGATACCAGCCACAGACGGGGAGCAGGAAGGAAAACAGGGGCGTGGGCCCTCACGGCACCACCTGGGCAAGGAG